GGCCCACATGAAAATTTTGTTCTCTCTGTTCCAGTTTCAATCAAGTTCCCCAAAAATCACAAGTTATCTTCGTTTCTCTTTTCATTTCCTTTTCAAATTCAAAACCCTAAACCTACTACTACTCCTGCAAAATTAAATCAAATATTACCCCAAACCCACCCTCACTCTCCAGCTTCTTCAGTGAATTCAGCTCAACAACTCAATACCCCTCTGTTCTGTTCTGTTCTGTTCAAGTTTTTCTCTCTTCGCTTCAAGTCTGTTTTCCGTTTTTTACCCTGAGAATCAATTCCATGGCTACCGCGCTGGCTACAACTGCGACCGCACAGCCGAACTTCTATTTCGACGAGAAGTGGAAGCTGTCGAAGAAGGAAGGTTCGTCTCGGAGTCGATCTTCAAATTCACCGCTCATGACGAATTCGTCGTAGCAAAACCACAGCGATTCTTGAAACAAGGACACCAGGGCGGGGAGATCCCATCAGGCGGTGACCATCTCCCGTGAGAGGCTCCATGGCCACCAGATCTGGGAATCCGACGACCACCTTTGGAGATCTGTGTAATGGCTGGTAGCCACCGGATCTGATAACAAACAAGCAAAACAACCAGATAAAACAGAAAAAAAAACAAGAAAAAAAGACCACCAGAAAGGTCATCGGAACTGGGAGCATGGAATCGGCTCCATCATGCTTGAGCAACCGGAGATCCCGGCGGCTCAAGCATCAAAAATCCGGCAAGCCCAAGGGCTGCCGGGCACAAAAAGGTGAGATCTGGGGAAGACGAAAGCAAAGACTGGAAGATTCTAGAGAAGAAAGAGAAAGGAGAACAGATCTGGGTTTTGACCAAACCCAGATCTGGCGAGGAAGAAGAACAGAAAAGAGAGGAGAGAAAGAATAAGAAAAGTTAAAAAATTGTTACATGGGCCCCATTAAAAGGAAAAGTAAAAAAGGTGATAATATGATGTGTAAAAAATATGCCACGTGTATAAAAAATTTTCTTTGTTGGATTTACATGTAATTAAAATTTAAAAAAGTCAATGATTTTGTGGCATCTTAATGTGCCACCTGGCATTTAACTGACGGAAGGACCATTTTGGTACCAAAAATGAAAGTTCAAGGATAATTTTGGTACTTTTTAAAGTTGAGGGACAATTTTGGTGCCAAAGTGATAAGTTGAGGGACTAAAATGGTACTTAAACCATTTACTAATGATTGTTTTTGAAAAAACACGTGGCAGAATCTCACAGGAATAAATTTCCGTAATGCCGCCCCACAACGGAGATGGGGTGTCGTTACCGTCGTTGCCTTCTTTCGGGGTAATTGTCGGCTAAATCGCGATCGCGGGATCAGAAACAGAGCGATCGAGATAGACAGTGGGGGAAGGAGAAGGAAAAGAGAAAGATGACGCGAGGAAAACAGAAGATCGAAGCGCAGAGGCGAAATGCAGAGCGGAATCAGAAGCCAAAGGGATCTCAGCTCGAGGCCAGAGCCGTCGCGCTTAAAGCCAGTTGCCCCATCTGCAAGGTCATCCCTTTTACTTCATCTCAATCAATCAATAATCTCTCCGTGTGCTGTCCTTTTCATCTCCTGTCCATACCCAATGAAGTTTGTCATTCGTTTCTGCTGATTTTTTCATCTGGGTCATTTTTTCCCTTCATCTTTCTCATTGACTTTGTAGATCTAGCTTTGATTCCGATGCTCTTGTCTTGTTCGATGTAGTCATTCTATGCTTTTTTATAATTTGGCATGCTATTGATGGCTATGGATGGTGAGATATTCCTCTTTGGTTTTTCTTATTAGCTTCTGACTTCATACATAGAGATTGTTTTTGGGATAATAATGGATGTGTGGAATCTAATCTTGCATCCAATTGGCTTCTTTTCTCACACAAAATTGTTTTCTTTTATAGCCATAGTTACATACTTATTCATATGAGGAATTTCCTTTATTCATCTTTTCCTGATCTTATGTGTTTTCCCCCTCAGTTTGTTGCATTTTCATGTGAAAGGTTATTACTTTGAATCAAAATAATGCGAATATCTCACTCTGGCCTGACTTTGGCGGTTTGGCATATTTTCTTTGTTCTTTGAAGAAAAAGAAGAGTTATAATTAAAAACCTTCTATTTTTAAGTTCTAATCTATTAAATTGTGATCCCTTGTTCTGAATATTAATGTTCTGTAGTAGGAGTAGTCATGCTATAAGGAATTACCACAAGTTTGAATTTTGTAGTTGACAATTGCAGTCTTCATTCAGTTAGTGATTGTTTTTGAATTTGGATTGCTGTGTAGCATATATTTGGATCCTCTCTATCCCACAGGGCCTTTCAGCTTCTCTCCTGTTACCCTGCCTTGGAGCTGGATTGACTAGGAGTTATTCCTTTCATTTGTTGAGTTCAGGTGGCTGCGGTAGTCCTTGAATTATCCAGTTACCTTTTTCTTTTTCCTTTTTGGCTATTTAAATTTTAAAATCTGCATGTCATTTGAGAAGTAAAAAATATATATATACTTAGAGCTTCCTGTCTGATTAGCGACTGGTGTAGATGCTTACCTTCATTCTTGACAAATTATTTGTTATTTGTAGAAGCATGTGTTCTTTGGTTGGCAGTTACCTTCATCTTGTTCATTTAGGATATGCAGCATGAAGTTCAAATCATTTTGCCAATAGTGTCATCTGATGACTATTCATCAAGTTAACGTATCTTTGGCAGGACTAATGGAATGGATGATCTAAGTTGGGAACGATACATAAAAGCTTGTTTTTGGTCAGTCATGTCTAGAGACCTCTGTCATATTCTCTCTTTGCACCTGGAGGACCTTTCAGATAAATTCTGACAGAATTTGGAAGGGTAGGAAGTAGTCAGCGTGCATTAGTGTATAACCTGCTTGCACTGATAATTATATGTTATAATGTCGCTGATTGCTAATCGCTATGTTCATATGGTTATTTGAATTTCAAACTTGTGTGCCACGTCTGTGGGGCTCCATGGATTCATCTTATGTAAATACCTATTATGCCATTTGGACTGAAAACTGAAAGCTTCTTAAGCTAGTCTTCTATGAGTAAAAATTCAAGTCAATTTTTATCTGAGATTTTTATATGGGAAAAAGATAGAGTTTGAATCTTTATAGGGTGGGCCATAACTTTGGTGGTCTGAATTGCAGGATTGATCATGATATCAATTCTTTCTTCTTCTTTGAGTAAAAATTAAAGTAGATTTTTGTCTGGGAAAAAGATAGAGTTTGAATCTTTATAGGGTGGGCCATAACTTTGGTGGTCTGAATTGCAGGATTGATCATGATATCAATTCTTTCTCTTCTTCTTCTTCTTTCTATTTTTCGGTGGGATTAGTCATTCTCCCTGGAGCACTTTGGTTTTGTAATGTAAAAACCAATGTTTTGGCTTATTAAGTTGTTGTTACTAGATATTCTGTTTGACATTTTGCTCTATAAAGTACATCCTTATATGGTTGCTTTGTTTGAAAGACTGAATGATAATGCATGTAGATCAAACAAAAGAAAGTTTTGAAGTACATCCTTATACTTTTTCCTTTGCTACATGCTTTTTACATACAAAAGCTGCTTGTTGTGTTAACATGCATTGCAGCATTTGCCTCTACATTATCTTCTCTTCCCTCTTGCGAAGTACTTCGTTGTACTAAACTTGATGCAACCTCTGTTTGCAGGTGCAACTAGCAAACGAGAAACAAATGGGCGATCATTATGCATCCAAGCATCCAAAGGAAAAAGTTCCTTCAGAACCAAGTTGATCAATTTGGTTCAATGTAAAAAAATAAAAGAAATGAAAAAATAAATAAAAAGAATGAAAAATATTTTCCCATGTCTGGTTATGTACCTTCCATTGTATGCTATCTGTGTGTTGTCTAAACAAAAACTCTAGACCAAGGAAGTTACCTTTTTGTGGTATGAACATTTGTATGACTACGAGTAAAAGGATTTTGACATCGAAGTGGTGCCTCCCCATTTCTGCTTTTAAAGATTTCAACCGCTAGAATAAAACAGATTGGGCACTTGATATATTTTCATCAAGATGTTATTTGTTCGTATCTGGAAATGAACTGGAATTTATCTGTATCATCTCATCTCCCACGGCCACAGGAAGGCTTGGTGTCACTGTACATGCGGGGACGACACATACCATATATATATATATATACTGAAACCCATCTTGTTGCCCGTTCTAACGAGGTTCGATGTAATTCAATTTCATATTAATTAAGCTTCAATATGATTATCAGATATCGAGAAGGTAATAAAAAAAAAAAAAAATACATCTTGTTGTCTCCACATAGGCATGACACTGACACGAAGGGCGACAGAAGTAGCAATAAGGGTGCTGATGGGGCTGAGAGATGAGAAGGGATGAAGCATGATTCCACGAGGGTATCTATACTCCATAAAGAAACGATTAATTTCTGCGCCTAGATCAGTCCTGTGTGTGGGAAAACAGGATAAGTTGAGGGGGTTGAATATGATTTTGCCAATTGCAAAAGCACCAAAGCAGCATGTGGCGTGGACATGGCCGCGTGACATGAAAAGAATATAAAAAAAAAAGGGCTGGAAAGTAATGGGACGAACCATTGCTGTATTACTTGCGGCCAAAGGGAAAGAGACACTGGCAGTTGTCAGCCTTTACCAATTAATGAAACCAACTTTACCAATCACGTTTTGGGGGTTTCTACTCGTCACGTGGCTGAGGACTAGACTCCGCAACAAACTTGCCTGCTGTTCCACTTTTTGCATTTAATCATCCACTCCATTTGTAT